ACGACCAGGAAGACGACAACTGAAGAGCCTGAAGAGCTGAAACACCACGCAGTCTCCAGACGACCCTGAAGATCCTGAAGAGCTGACACTGCATCGTCTCCAGACGACCTGGGAGACCCTGAAGAGCTGTAACACTACATCGTCTCCGGACGACCCTGAAGAGCTGTGATACCGCGTCGTCTCCGTGCTGCTCACAGTAGCCGACGCGACCCTTAAGAGTTCGGACACTCCGTCGTCTCTGTGCTGTACCGTGCTGCCCACAATAAACAGACGACACTGTCGTCTCCGTGCTGTAACACTACGCTGCTTGCCCCGGCTCTCACTCCTTCACTCAAGAAACCCGTTCGGCTGTCCCCCCGGGTCGGGACACCATGGGAAAGAAATAGATGCAGCGTGGCCAGGATGCACATGATAGGCACTAGAACAAAGAAAGCAGCTGAGCATTCCCTTTTCTCAAGTGTAGTTCCACTATGGCATGTGGTGCCTGTGCTCTCCATTGCATGTCTATGGCAAAGGACTCTCAGGAACGAATCCCCTTCACGAGCCCTGAGGTCCGGATTTCTTCTCATGGAAACAGATATAATCAAATGATTATGATCAATCATTGTTCTTTTTTAAATTTTATTTTATTTATTATCATTATTATTTTTTTTAAGTTTGCAATAGGGCATGTGTGCTCACCAGAGAGTGACTGAAAGAGAGAGAGGAAAAGTGAAAAAGTAAGCCACCAGGCCTGGGACTCAAACCACGGTCAGCCATGGAGGAGTCCAACACCTTAATCACCATGCCACCTGCTGGCCCTAGATTAACCATTGTTCTTAAAGGGCTAGAGTCTATGCTCTTTTTCAGACATATTATATATATATATATAGGAAGCTAAATAACATTTATAAGTTTTTCATTAGAATTCTTTTCTCGTTGAAATTCTTGTTAATTTTTTTGCCTCTCTGAAAATTATAGAAAGTATCCTCTTGAGTCCCAATAGCATAAAAGGATTAGACTGGATGTCACCATCCCATAATAACTACTCTAAGTAGAACAACAAAACATTGGAAGTACTCTATGTAAAAGTGGCACAACAACTTTGAAAAACAGTGTGGAAATTTATTTTAAAAGCAACATCTGGGTGGCAGGTGGCATTGTGGTTAAGGCACTGGATTCCCACATGGCCAACCTCAGTCTGAGTATCATAGCTGGTGGCTTGCTTTCTCATTTTCGCTCGCTCTCTGTCCCTCTGCTAAGTGCACGTGCCCTATAGCAAAATTTTTAAAATAACAACAAATAAAGTTAAATAAATAATTCTTTAAAAAATCATTAGAAAGTAACATACACAGGCCAGGAGGTGACATGGTGGTTGACATACTGGAAGGCTGATGGTGGCTGTGAAGAGATAGCACAAGAGAGCCTTGTGGTGATGAACAGTTCTGCTGGTTGTTACACATAGTCAAGTGCATGACAAAATTGCATAGAACCACACACACCCATACCCCATCCCCACACATACATGCATATGACGCAGGTAAAATTTCAGTAAGCTCCTGGTTTTGGTATTATACTACAGTTAGGCAAGACGTTACCACTGGAGGAAACTGGATACTTGAACTCTCCTGTACACTTTATTTGCAGTTTCTGTGAATTTATAATTATTTCAAAATGAAACATTTAGGGGACCAGCAGGTGGCTTGGTGGTTGAGGGTGCTAAACTCCCACATAGCTGACCATGGTTCGAGTTCTGGACCTAGAAGCTTGCTTCCTCACTTTCTATCTATCTCTCACCCTGTCCCTCTCTGGTCCAATTAAAATAAAAAACAACAACAACAAAAAACAATAAATATATGAAGTTAAATAGAATGATTCTTTTTTTTAAAAAATGAAATGTTTAAAAAAGAAATATAGGTAAACAAAAAGGATCTTGCAACAGACAGTAAGAAGAGATGCCTAGTGAGATAAGAGGAAACTAGGAGTATTTGGTGTTATGGAAAAACTAGTCCAGGAAGGGTGGGTGGTCCACTGTGTGGAATTCAGTGATGCAGAAGCAACTTTTGTGGAATGGTGGAAGTGGGCCCAGAGACTTGAAGAATGACATTAAATCCCTAGCTTCCAACCTTACTTTTTCTAAGGCGGATGCAGAGGGATAGCAACTAGTACTATGATTTCATTTTATCCTCAGTGTTTTGAAGTATCCTCACATGTTACAAATATTTCCTTGTTTAGGCCAGCCAATGGTGAGGAGGTTAAGACTGGGTCCTAGATGGCTAACAACATGGTTCAAGTCCCAGACCCGGAGGCTTGAAAAACACTCCTGGCACATGTACATGCATGTCCAAAATCCCTGAAGAATGGAGAAAGA